ACACTAGGGCGTCCGTAGTGTAGGATAAGCACTGGTAAAAAGGATGTAAAAGGTATCAGGAATAGAGTGTCTTGAGGAAATAGCCTGTGTATGGTTATAGCAAGCCTTGGGAGTAAATTTACCACCCGCTTATGCATGCACTAGGTTAGAAATAGGGTAAACAACTTGTAAGGGTGAAGTACAAGTCCTATGCAGCAAGCAGCAGCCAGCAGCAGAAGCAGCCGCCTGCAGCCAGCAGCCAGCAGCAACCGCCAAGCAGCCAGCCAGCAGCACCACGCAGCAGCAGCGCAGCACCAAGCCGCAGCAGCAGCAGCAGCAGCACCACCGGCAGCAAGCAGCAAGCAGCATCGTCAGCAACAGCAGCAGCAGCACCAAGCCGCAACAAGTAGCAAAGCATGAACTACCTCAAATGATCTCAAATATACACGCAACTCATTATCATTATACCTATCAGTTTGTTAACTTCTGCATTGAATGAGCCACTCGAACCAGCAAAACGACGCCAACCCTGGACGGAGGCTGAAGGAACGACGTAGCATGGAGGTGAAATGGAGCGTGCTCACCGTAGGACATGCCTTGACCAAGGATTGTAGATGCAAACAATTGCACAAACATATGCACACCTTGCCGCTGTCTGAACACCAGCAGAGCTATCACGCAATTCATTCAGTGGAATGGTGGTATGCACCACAACAATAAGCGAAGCGGCGCAGCTGGGAGTTGAACCGCGGGGGGGGGGGGGGTTAGCTTGATATATCAATCTTTAAGGCACGCAGCCCCTCCCACCACAACATTGCTAAAGCAAAGAAGAACTCAGCTAGCATGCTAGCTTTCGTGGTGTGGTGAAAGGTGGGTTCCTGATTCCAGTGACATCGGAAAGAACAACAAAACATTGAAGTCTCCCTAATTCATGGCTGAATTGTGGGCATTTACCCTTAGATGGTTTCACATTCGTCCAGGAGTACAAGAATCCTGACCTGCAAAAACAGTAGAGGAAATATGAGGAAATCGTTTCTTTTTATTCAATTCTTTCAGGCAACCTCCAACACAGGAGGGGCAACCTGAAGCACTACTGTATACTACTGTAATAACATTTAGTGGCAGCGACTTCAAGAAACTCATCATCAACAATCTGAACTTCACCAGGCCTTCCTCAACAGCCCGAAGGACTCTTGGAGCACGATCCGGCGCTCGCGTTGCCTGTCTCGGCTTGCTTGGCTGCCAGTGATCATCAGTGATCCACTTGCTGATCTTCAAGAATGATCCAACGTTCACTGGAGTGAAAAGGGTCCACAGGACATCCCCTCCTGCTCCTTCTTTCCTGCCACCCACTCAATTGTGCTGAGCACCATCTCTCCCCAAGCTGGCCTCTTTGGACATCGCGCCAAGGAATCCCAGCGTGCACTTTGGCACGCTAAAAGCTCGGCCTAAAAATGATGTCCACAGCACAAGGACATCCATATATATATGCCTTCGAATCTGGAGCTTACTGGACATGGTAGACTGTAGACACGATAGCAGCCTAAACACCGTCAAGTTCCTTCTCGTTGAAGGCACACGGGAAGAACCGCCACCAAGGGCTCCCGGCCACTGCTCGGCTGCATGACCATCCACAATGCAAGACCTGCCACAAAGGCGGCATGTTGCAACGCAAGGCTTGGGTGACTGATGTGGACATAGACATACACAAGTAGCGTAATGGTTGGGAGTGGGGAACTTGCATGATATGGCTTCAGGGTGCCCTGTTGGATATGGACAAGGCTCCCTGTCCATCCATCGAGGAGGCATGCAGGAAGCCCCTCCTACGAGTACCGGGATGATTCCATGGATCCCTACCTCACGCGAGTGCCATGGGTGCCTGGCACAAGGCCCAGGCCATCGCGGTCGCAGCCAAAAGGAGGTTTTCATGGTGTCGACGAGCCTCGGTACCATGCCATCTATTTCTGTTCAAGGGGCATTTGATGCAACGCCATGGAAGTGGTGACAGGGGGAAGGCCGGGGAGAATAAGGGTAAAAAAGACATCCTGGTAGCATGATGTAGAATGGATGAGTCCGCTCTCGATCCCCTGGTAGGCTATAAGACTTATTCAAAGTGAGTACAGCAAAGTAGCAGAAAAGGCAAGCAGTGTGTTGCTCATGCACAAAGAACACAAATCATCCATGCCTGCGCAGTACACGGATGAAGGGCAGTAGCACACCCAAGCGTTATTGCCTCTGTGGCGTCCGTGTAGAGGTCATCGACCCAGGCCAGGTCATCGCATCTATGTACAATGTGCCTCCTTTGTGGCAGCCACGGTGCTTGCTGAGCTTCTGCTCAGCTCAGGGTGGGTCCAGTAGAGATCGATAGAGATCCCAAATTCAGATCTCCCAATGTCCGAAAGCACATCTGCGTCCAAAGGCCTTCTGTTCACAAATGTAGTCAATAGAAGGCAGTCCGAAAGTCATCCTCCAGAATCCACCTGACTGACCTTCTTGAACAGGTCCCTGTTGGACCCAGCTGCCGGAATCAGGTGCCGCAAGAATCACTTTCTCCTGTTGAAGACTATGCCCACCTGGCGACGGCGTAATCAGTCTCTCTCTCTCTCTCTACCGATTGAATTGTTCAATCAACGCAAGAACAAGAGCATGCTCTTCCATTCTCTTTCCAATGCCAGGCTCACATTTCGACATCTTTGGGTAGGTGTCCACATGTGCACGCCTAATGAAGGTATCCAAATGCCAGCTCGATAAAGGACACCAGTCACCAGCGGCAACACATGCTGCCAGGGCACTGAAAAACGTTCGCCCTTCACCTCTCTAACCTCATGGGGTGCAAGGGCAGTAGTCAATCGCTCCGCAAACACGCATGCCATGCAATTAGCTGCTGATGGCTTCTATGGATGGGTGATGGTCCAATTGGGGATGGCCCGTGCCTGGCGGGGCTTGAATAGTCAGCAATTTCACCTGCTCTGTGCTCCATGAGCCAACTGGCAGTTCCACAAGTGGCCAACAGGAGTGCGTGCTCTTCGGTCCATCTAGTGTAATTATTAATGCAAGGCAAGCACAATTCCAAACACACCCTCGCTGAGATCAACGGAGCCATCGAACTCCTTTGTTTCTCTGGTGAGGAAGCTCAACAGTTCTGGTCTCCTAACGTGTCCAAACCGTCCAAACTGAACCCCAATGTGATCCCACCATCACTCTTACCAGCCCCTCCCACCGACATCAGCCGCCGCTTCCCTCCCTCCACCCACCCCAAGCGACGCCGTGCTTGAAGTCGGCGCCGCGCACGGCCGCGCTGTTGGCCGCGAAGAGCGTCACGTCGCCCTGGTCGGCGGCGACCTGGGCGACCTGACCGGAGCTTTGCGGCTTCTTGGAGCATCCGGAGGAAATGCGTGGAAAGGGCAGAATGAAAATGGAACAAGTTCCAATCACGGGGCAAATTCATTGGAGGATCAAAGTTCAAAGCTTGTAATAGTATATAAGTAGTAACACGTAATAACTCTATACTAATGCCATGCAGGTTACTACTAAGTATAAGTAGTCCGATCACTTATATACACCTTGCGCCCTTAATTTGACTGCCTGGGTGGTGATCTTCTCCGCCATCAATGCACATGCAGGTTTCACCACACCAAAGGCTTCTACTGCGGCTGCAGTGACACGCCTTGCCGGTCTTCATGTTCTTCACAAAGAACTCGCCTCCGTTGAAGTCTTTTCCTGTAGCTGTGGAGCTGGACTGCAGTAAAGGAAGCGAGCCACATGGTCTGATGTTCATGAAAGACCTCCAAGTTCCACATCATCGTTAAACAGAAGGTACATTCTTTTCATACCCAATAGTTTGCCACTTCAGGTGTCCAGGTGTCAATATATACTACACGCGTGAAGCCAAAGCCGAGGCACCCCGTCGGCTGAGCATCAGCATCGCCTGGTAAGGGAAGAAGAGCTTTCCGTAGGGATCCTCACAGCACACCCGACCTTGCCACACAACCTTGCTGGAAAGGGAATAGGACGTCAGTGTTATTCAATCTGACATCCAAATTGATCATACCAGGTGCCCTGGCTTTTTAGGTATCATGTGGCATCATTGAACCCATTTCACAAGGGTGCCCCAAGAAAGAAATAGCCAAACCGGCCCAACGTCAAATCCACAACAATGGCATCCAATGTTTCCCATCATCCAGCACTTCCAACTGTCTGCTCTGCCTCCCACGCCACACTACAGGTTTGTCCTGATGTGCCAAATTCAGCCCACCCTGGAGAAGGGGGTAGCAACACTCTGCAAAACCAGGCAGGACCTACGTAAGACACTGTGTTGATGGGCCAAAGCTGGGGTGGCTGAGAATTTGAAGACTACCTGAGCGGACCTGCGGGAACCTTTTGATCTTCCTACGTTTTCAGAATGCAGCAAATGCAGATAGATTCAATAAATTCAATTTCATGGCGAACAAGAAGATACTTGCGAGGCCATGCTGGGATCCATGTCTACAATCTACTCATGGACTCATGGCGCTTCAAGTCTTCAAATTCCAGGCATGTTAGCGAAATTGTTGAATGGTTGAGCCTGCAATGCTGATGCTCGATAGTTCCTTATCATCCTTCCCACTCGAGGCCTCTCCAAAGGCCAAGAAAATGGTGGCACATCGCTTCCTCAGCTGGTCACCCGCAGGAGGGCATCATCCACCCAACCTATTGCAATGAACCCCCACCAAAATAAGAACTAAGAACGACAGAACTGACTCCAAACCCAAAGCCACAACGTGCCATGCACCAACCCACCAAAGTAAGAACTCACCACCGATGTGCCCCTTGTAGCACTGACTCCGCACCCATAGCATCCCATAGCCATAGCCCAAATCCGAACAAGCATTGAAAAAGGCCACCACCTCCTACCCCGAACCCACTCAGTGCCTTACTCCACCCCACCCACCGGTGCTCTCCGAGTCGCTGCCCCGCCTCCGCGCAGCGCCGCTCCAGCTGCGCCATCGTGGCGCCGTAGCGCTCGCCGAGCTCCGGTAGCTGCTCCAGCAGCTGCGCCTTGGACCGAGTCCGGAGACGTCGGAGGCGTCGCACGTCACGTGGCGTGGACGGCCCAAAGCCACGAGGCCAAGGTAGAAAGAGAAGTGACGAAAAGGATTCATGGTTGGATAGAAAATGGTTGGAACAAACATATGTAATTGCAGTAATGAAAATTGTATACAGTGATATTAATATATATATATATAATATTGTGTAAAACAATATTCTAATAATATGCAATGGATGGCTGGTGAAACAGGGTAAACCTTCAAGTTTAGAGATGGTGGTGAGTTAGGGATCTGGCCGGATTTGTGTCGCCTATTTGAACGTTTGCATGATGACTCGAAATGATGTCAGCCTTCCCCACTCCTTCCCTTGCCTACAAAATTTGGTTGAGGTTTCCATATGCACCATCCTGAAATGACTCAAATCATAGTACCCAAGTATGCTCTTTCCATAAGGTTCTACCAGGGAACTGCCAGGGCCAAAATCCCACCAGTGTCGGCTCCGAATAATGCACCACATGAGCCCAGTGAGCTCGTCTCCGTCCTTCGCCATACCGCCGGCGGTCAAGCGGCATAGAGCGATGTTCGGATGGCCTCTACGAGGTGTGGAGGCTGCTTGCAGAAATAGTAGGCACCACCTTGGCCAGCCTGGTGCGAATGGCGATGAAGTCTGGTTTGGGCGGGCTGGTTGGCATCCATCCCGGCACATGTCTGCAGGCCCCAGGTCATCCAAAACATCTCATCACAACACCCCCGCAAGCACCTCGCCATCCAGCCGCCGTACTTCATCAAAAGCATTGGCCTCTTCCGCGTATTGCAGCAGCTGGGCACACTCCTTCCGTGCCAAGAGCAAAGTGTGGCGGATAGTGAATAAGCCCAAACACCCCAGAAATAACTACTTCACACACTTTCCACTTCTCACATCCTTTGTCCATCATGCAAACTGACGGAGCTCTAGCCTGCTTCAAAGACTCAACTCTGCCTGACATGAAACAGCGCTTCTCTTCACTCCACGCCTGCGGCTGTCCAATCTCTACAGTACGCTTTTCACCCAACCCCGATTCACTGGCGTGTGGAGCAAGAGCAAGGCCACTGCAAGAGCAAGGTAATCCCCACACCTTCCAAAGAGAGCCACATAGAATCTGAATAGTCACGGCTACAGAGGCTCACGGGTTGAATTCGGTAGGTTTGTATATCCCCAACTTCTTAGGGTCAATGTCAATGTCTGCAGTCTACAGCTACATGCTACCTATACTGTACACTCCATTCCGCTCCCTGTGCGCACTATCGGCACCATCAATATAGCAGAAGCTTCGATTCGCGTTTAGACCCAACCGCTAGAAATTGGATGTGCAGTCTTGAGAATGCAATCAGACTTGCCTGACTTCTTTGGACATGCCCTGCCCACCCATTTCAGGCTGTTTCTCTGGCCTATCGCAGGTTCACACCGCCCAGGAAGGTCGGGTGCTGTGGCACCAAACGGCCTGATGGGCAGTGTCATGGGATCCAAATGGTTCCAGTCTTGAGGTCTGATGATGCAAAACGCCAACGTGCGTTAAGAAGGGCACATGTGGTTTTTGTTTTATAAAGCAGTTGATTGTTTGTATTGCTTTGGATCTAGAATCACGGACAGGGTAATGCAAACCTACAACAATAACATAATCTTACAAACTAGCAAGCTCGGCTAGCAACACATGCGGCGTTCTCACAAGGTACAGGTACTTCAACCAGTCCCTTTAACATCCTGGGAATTGGACCTCTGCTCCAGCATAATGGTAGAGCTTGACAGCGGAAGGGGCATAGATCACAGTAACCTGCAGGAAATGCATAGGACAAACAGATACAAACAGTTTTGGACTTCAGAATCATTATGTTGATTCTGCGGGCTATGATCACCGGAGGGTGCAAGTCGTGCAAGTGCCCACTAGAATCGAAGTCAGCAAACGCACGCTTCATCGACCCTGGCGTGGTGGGTTGACAACACCTCACAGCTGCAAGAACTCACAAGAACACAAAGCTGGATGTATACGACTTTTTCGACTCAATCCATGCAGTTGTTTGATGTTTGTAGATGGTCCGTGCACATTTCAAAATCTTGGCTCAATGCTGAAGGCAACACCCTCAGTTCTCTCGGCACAGCCGTCCACTGAGAGTTGTCTCACACTCAATCTTCATCATCCTTCATCCTGCGATATCCTGCGGCATGTCAATCTGCCACACGTGCGGCACTTGACGGCATCTAGCGGCTCCGTGCCATCTGTGCCAGGTTAGAGGTCAAACCTGGCAAACCTGCCATCCTGGTGATGCCATTGGTGATGCCACCTGCTGGCGCTTTGAAAGTACTCATCGGAGGTGGCAGCCGAGCTCCGCGACACCCAGCACCACCTGCACCGCGCTTTGCGGCCGAAGACGCAGGGAGCTGCGTGAGCTTCCCAGCTGCCCAGGCAATGCCGAGGAAGGGTGCCACACTTCGCACTCTGCGAGGCTGTTTGGAGGCCAAGCACTGTCTGGTAGTGACTCCTTTAGTCTGCCTGTTTCCATCCTGGTTCAAGGAATGAACGTCTGAAGATGCGGCTGTCTGCACAGGGACCCGTGGTCTTTCCCATAAGACTTTGGAGCAAAAGGCACAAACAAGCATTGCAACGGTCGAAGCTTCAGGGGTGCTCCCAAAATTCGGGATAAAAATCAGCACGCCCAAAGAGAATGAGACAGCATAGAATGTGCAGACAACTTCTGGAAACCACCAAAGAGCCAAGAGGCAAAGGAAAGCTGTAAAATGGGCGGCGTCATTGTTCGGGATGAGCTCCAAATTTATTGATGCAAAAACAGTCCAGAGCTGCACAAAAAAGAGAGCAGGATCCAATGAGGATTCACCACCCAACTTCTCACAATACTCGTAGCATTCTTTCTGGCTGCAGTCTTTGTCATTCACCCTGCCACCACCCAAGTTGCCCAATTCTTTCCAGGCCTCTGCACACTTCTCATCTTCTTCCAGGCATCTCTCATAACACTCCCGCCTGCTGTAGTCCTTGAAGGCGTCCACATTATCATCAAAGTGGTAGCCCACCCTGCCTCCACCACAATCGCCCAACTTCTTCCAAGCCATTGCATTCTTCGAATCCAGCGACAAGGACCTCATGAAGCATTCCTTATCTGAACAGTCATCCTCACCCACCGTGCCACCACCCAACACGCCCAGCTTGCACCAAGCGTCGCCATTTTTTGGATCTCGCTTCAGGCACTCGCAGTAGCACTCTGCCTTGGAGTAATCAATAACGTCGCCAACCCGGCCACCTCCCACGTCGCCCAATTCCATCCAAGCCTCTGGATTGTCTCGGTCAAGGCTTAATGATTTGCCATAGCATTGCTTCTTTTCATACAGCTCAGCACCCACTGTGCCACCGCCCAACTTGCCCAATAGGTGCCAAGCCTCTGCATTTTTGTCATTCATCTCCAAGCACTTCACATAGCAGTCCTTTGATCTGTAGTCTTTCGCTCCCACCCGCCCACCGCCCTTGATGCCCACATTGAGCCAACCGTCTGCATTCTGTGGATTCAACTCCGGGGACAACACCAAGGATTTGGCAAAACACTGCTCCGCAGTGTAAGACTCGCCTCCCACCAAGCCGCCTCCCACAGTGCCCAACACGTGCCAAGCATCGCCATTGCCTTCCTCAAGCTCGACAGAGTGTTCATAGCATTCTTGCTGGCTCCAGTCTTTGTCATTGACCTTGCCACCCTTCAATTTGCCCAATTCTATCCAGACTTCAGCGCACTTCTCATTCTCCTCCAGGCATCTCTCGTAGCAATTTTGCTTGCTATAGTCAGTTTCGCTCCACCACTTCTGCAATCTGCCCCCTCCCAAGTCGCCCAACCTCTTCCAAGCCACTGCATTCTTCGAATCCAGCGACAAGGACTTGATGAAGCACTCTTTCGGCTGGAAGTCTTCGTCCCCCACTTTGCCTCCGCCCGATTCGCCAAACTTGCACCAAGCCTCCGGAATGATAGGATTCAGATTCAAGCACTCGCTGTAGCACATTGCAGCGGAGTGCCATCTGCCATCGGTGCAGCCACCACCCAAATCGCCCATGATAACCCAAGCCCGTGGATTCTTTCGGTAAACCTTCCATGACATGCCATAGCATGCCTTCGTAAGCTCCCCTCATCCGATCCACTCTGCCACCCAAATGGCTCCAGTCTTTCCAAGCCACTGCTTCTTCTTGCTGCAAGCACTCCTCCTGGTCACACTCCTCAGCTCCTACAATGCCACTTCCGCAACTCATGTTCAATGAGAGCTGGGCCTCAGCATCTCTTATGCACTTTTGCCATTGCTTCAGAAACAGGTCAATTTCCACCAACTTCACCAGGTCGGCAGTCTCCAAAGGTGGACCCTGGTGGTTCTCCGGATCTCGCGGGATGGAGCCTTGGACTTCGAACATGGTCAACGGTGGTGCCAAGACTTCCTTTTCTTCCGGATATGCCGAAAGCCATGAGATGTCTTTCAGATCTGAATCACCTGGCCTGACGGTGATTTCAAACACGGTTCGAGGGCCCTTCCTCCCACAGAACTTGTCCATGACCCTGGGATCCGTAGCTGCCGATTTGAGGGTGTACCATGGGAAGGCTGTTCCAACAGCAAAGCGGCTGTGGAAGTCCTCAAAAGAATGCTTAATGCCTCGGTAGACATAGGGCTGGCCATCAAGTGGTTCGTAAGAGGGAAGTTGTTCCAAGGCCTCATCGATGAACTTGGTGAATCTCAAGGCCGCTTTGACTTCCTCAGATTCTGTGTCGATCCTCTCTTCCGAGTTGAGGATGTGGTTCACCGCAGCATAGATGGATGGTTCTCTGAGTGTGTAGGCATGAATTCCCAAGGCAAATTCCATGAAGTCCTCTCGGTCAGGGCTGGCTTTTGATGCGCATAAGTTGGGTTGGCAAACACAATCAGGCCGTCCTTCACACGCTATACATTTGTACAATTCGACACACTAGTCACTAGGTTTGGCACAGCTTAGCCTGTATAATTTGACTTTGCTTCCAACAAGCCCACCTTCTCTCGTGAAACCTGATGCCTCTCCCAGGCCCAATTCTGCCAGCTTCTCATTCTTCGTCCAAAACTTGATTATATATATATATAAATGGCTTATATAACTTGCTTGGTGGCAGTGTTGACAATCACAACCCTGCCTCTCCGAGCTCCATTTCTGATAGCTTCTCATTCTTTGTCCACTCCTCTCTCTTGCGCTCCACCTTCTCAAGGGCTTTGTTCAGATCGATGTCAAGCATGTCCAAGCCTTCCAAAGCTTCTTGCACTGTCTTGGGGCACTTCATCTCGGAAAGCAATTTCTTCAATTTGCCTTGCCATTCCTTATCGGTTCGGTCCGACATCTTGTAGGGGAGCTAGCGCAAGGAATGCGCGCAGCTCGATTGAGGTTTGTTGTGAGGTGTTTGCTCACATGACTTTCTTATTCTTTTGGAGTGTTGTTTCTGCCATCCGGCGAGTGTTGATGTTGGACCTGGGATGACCTGGGAACTTCTAGTTCTTGTTCGTCTGGAATTTAGCTTGTCAAGTAGTTAATCGTACTGTTAAGCATTCTTTCATCCTCTGACATCGGTCACCGGCTTGAGATATATCGAAAGCACACACCATTCAAAAGCATCCAACATACAACAGCAACCTCCCCAGAACAAGTATAGGACATCTCAAAGTTCCTTAATGCGCTTCAAACCAAACTTTCTGAAAGAAAAAACGCGCGCTGCCATGCTCAACCTGTTGCTTGCTTTCACATGGATTGAGCGCACCTTTGGGCGGTAACTCCTCAAGCAGGTTGGTGGCGA